CCGTCCTGCTCTCTAGCAATGTTCTCTCACCTCCTCTTGGCTCTTGACTTTTTTTGCAGCCTTTATACTGCTACTCCTTGGCTCCTTAATGCTGTCTTTCAGCCACACCCCTGATTTAGCCTTCTCGGACAAAGGCGAAAAATCTCTGAGGTACCGTGTGCAAGTTGCCCACGGTAAAGATCCCGGGGTGGTATAAAATCGATAAAAGTAGGCTTCGGCCGCCATGTGGACAAAATTCAAAATTTCCTACCTACTGAAAATATTTGATGTGTCCTGCGCACTCATACGACCTTTTGCAGTTGCGAGCACCGTAAAACATTTACCAAAAAAAAAGCCAAACTTACTTTCGTAGATTTTCTTCACTTTCTCTCTGTCTTTCTGCCTTAATCATGCAGTCACTATTATTTTTTAAATTATTTTTTAAAATTGAAATGTCTTTAATCTGTCAATCTATCTGTTTATTTATTTATTTGTTTATGTTGTATTATTGTTTCCCGTTTCACTGTGTTCCGTTTTTTAACTGATGTTTTTTGTTTTTTTTGTCAATGAAAAAATTTACTGTGAGAAATGAAAGTACAAAATTAACACTCCACCTGAAAGGAGCATTCAGAAAGTACCTATTGTACACATAATAAGATGTATTTTCCAGAAACACTTTGCACCAGCCTTTATGACATAGCGATAAGATCTAGGCAGATGCTTCACCATCGTACGCAGAAGATCCGAGTTTGGTTTTTGTGTGGGGAGAATTGATCCTGGTCTTTCTGCTGGAACGTTGTATCCCTCTCAGCCTGGATTAACCCTGGCAAGCAGAGTAGAAGCCCTCCTCCTTGGTGATATAAGATTGCGTCGATTATGGCGTATAACGTATTACAAAGAAAGAAACATATTAATGTTGGACTCGAGATATCCATCTTAATAATTTAGTTGATGGTTGGCGGGTGCTCTAGTCTGGTAAGCTCTTTCTTTCCTATCAAATATGCTATCGTCCTTATCTCTCCTTTTTTTATTCGTACTTCTCTTGTAGTACCTCTAATCTTCGGTATTTAAGTGACCTAATCGTGTTAGAAGTGCCGTAAAACTATTACTAAACTAAAGCCTCTCAATGACTTACCTGAGGGTACAGAAGAATCTGTTAGTCGTTACACGTTTTGAAGTTACTAGAACCTGGGAGAAGTTACGGAGTCTAGAGTCCATGAAAACCTAGCATAGCCTTATACTAGATTATTTTGTTTTGAAAAACAAGGAAATATTTCTCTAAACATAGTGGAGATGTTATCCACTATCAAAGATTTGCGTGTGGCAAAAATCCACAACCACAACCCTGACCAGCAAACCTAAGTACTCGGGGTATGGGCAGTACAACACTATATATGCATGTACGCAATGCATGCGCAACTTATCAAACTTTGGTCTTCTTAGTTAAAGTTCTAGTTATATCGACTTGTTTTGTTCCTGGGGTGCCTCTTGTATTTCTGTAAATCAATGTCGAAGGGGAACGGTAGTAAGTCTACACAGATCTACTATAAGAGAAAGCTTCGTTTTGCTAATATTACCGAAAGGGAACTATATCAAGTCAACGTATTTTAAGAGAAGGTTTCGATTTGCTAAAATTAGGAAATAGGGGGCTCTCGTGGCCTTCAGCATAAGGTGTTCGCCTCTCATTCAAAGATCCCGGGTTCGAATCCGGGTAGCGACGGAAAAAATGTTCTTCTCTAAAATTGTCTCCTTTCACCTCCTTTTCTGCTCTCTACGAATGCTCTATTGTCTGCTTTCGTCTCCACTTTCTGCCCCAACCCCTCACATCCTTTGCCCCCTCCTCTGGGCTCCATGCTCTTTCTGCAGCCTTTCTACTGCCCTTTCTACTGCTACTCCTTAGCTCCTTCTTACTGCTGTCTTTCAGCCACATCCCTGTTTTTCTGGTAGGAAAGATCTACACCTAGCCTTCTCGGACAAGGGCGAACAATCTCAGAGGTCCTGTGTAAGTTGCGCATGTTAAAGATCCCTTGGTGGTCTAAAATTCGATATGAGTAGGCTTCGGCCGACACCCGGGCAAAATTCAAAATGTCCTACCAACTGAAAACGTTTACTAAGTCCCGCACGCTTATGTTATGACCTTATGCAGTTGCGAGCGCTGTAAAACACTTACCCCCCCCCCCTCCAAAAAAAATAAAACAAAACAAAACAAAAAAATAACTAGGAAATAAGACTTGTAGTAACATTTTACTCTTCACTCGTCCTGCTGCGGTGCCTCGGTGCTCTGAATACAATGTAAGTGACATTGTAACGGCATCAACATTTGAGAAACAATGGAATTTGGATGACACAATAATCATAGGTGTATTACAGAGTATTCCAAGCCTAAGGAACATCACGTGGTCATATATCTGATTAAATTTTTTTTTACCCCCCC